GATGGTGGAGGAGTGGTGCGCCGAGCACCTGCCCGACTTCATCAGACACGACGAATGGCCCTCCAGTTCTCCTGATCTAAACCCGATGGATTACTCTGTGTGGTCCATCTTGGAGAGCAAAGCGTGTTCTACCAGACATCCAAACTTGGACTCTCTTAAGGCGGCGCTTTCAAAATCTTGGGACGAAATCGATGACCAGTACCTGCGTGCCACATGCGAAGCATTTGTCGAACGTCTGAAGGACTGTGTGAAGGCTAAAGGAGATCATTTTGAGAAGCATTAACATTTTTTGTATTGTCATGTTTGTAGTAAATAATATTGATAATTAGAATTGATTTGTGAGAATTATTGTCAAAATGCCATTGAAAATTTAGTGCACCAGTAATTTTGCCCCACCCTGTACATGCTGTAAGAACCCCTGAATGCTATCCGACCGAGATAAGCGCCTAATCATGAGAGAACAACACAATTTCGTCAGTTGAATACAGAAATCGGACTTCTTTAAATGGTAAGATCTCAATAGTCGCAGTTTGACGTATTTCACAGAACGTCCATGACAGACCATGTTTGCAAGATGAGGGAGACATTTCCTGTGAAAGAAATCATTGCAAAGAATCAGCCAATTTTCTCAGAAATGGTTGCCAATCGAGTGAAGTGAGCACTTTGGGAAAAAGGAAGAAAGGGCTCTGAGAAAGAAGAACAATAAGAGAAAGAAAGAAATCAATCAGAAAATGACAGATAAAAATGTTTCTTCACTTCAGTCGACTTGGCAACAATTTCTCAAGAAATTGGCTTGCTTCTCGCCGTGACTTCTTTTCAGGGAAAATGTCCCCGCTCATCTTTCGAACATGGATTATCATAAAGTTTCAGAAAACATGTCAAACTGGATCCATCAAGACATTATCCATACCAAAAGATCAACGAGAAAAGCCAATCTGTTCTGAAAAGCTCTGGAAGAAACCCACGTTCATTTCGTAGGTATGAGGCTAGTGTGATCTCTGGATCGATATTCACAGCACTAATATCTTTTCCATTGACATTAAATCGAAGCACACTGAGTTCCATGGTGAGCGAAGGTCGAGAATGATACCTGGACAACCGACTGATAACAACCAATACCTGTCAACATGCGTCATGATTTAATGGAAAATCGATGACTGATTTCTGATAGATAAGGTCACAGTGGTCAAAATTGGGTGTAAGCAAAAATCTGAGTAACTGATAACTCAGAGTAGATTCAATTTATCTGCTTGTTTACTTATTTATTTGCTCAGCAAGTTGTGCGCATGCAAAAAAAAAACTGTCAGAGCGATAGAAATCAGTGGAAAATTGTGCTTGAAACACAAATTTGTTTTGTAAACTTATAGAAAAGGTTTCCAGAGAAAGTTCAGCTGTGGTTACCACATTCATAGAGAGACATGCTTTTGAACCTACATTTAGAAAGGTAAAGGTACACTGTAAACCTCGTGATGTAAAAAAACAAAAACAAAAACAGGACTTCTGCTGAATAACCATGGAAATAGCCTAGCCCAAGAAAAGATCTGCTAGGGCAGATGCTCATGCATCTTTTCGATCTCAATACAGCCGGATTCCAATAGCTCAGTGGTGCTCACAAGAAGAGATGAGCGACGATTACTAGAAAACTTACTTGCGGCGCAGTCACGTCATCTGCCAAATTCAGCAAATTAAACAGATTGGTGCAAAAGTCTGAGAAGCATTTAAACCAAGTAAAAATTCATTTTTGATATTTCTTATTTCGGCGTTTTACGCTTTTCGTCCTTACAAGTAACGATGCAAAAATTTGCGAATGTCCTTGAAGTGGAGCCGGTTTTCGTCTCCCTCAAAAGGTATTTTCAGACGCTATCAGTTCAAAAATGTTATATCAAAAAGACACCAACATAAATTGCTCTGAAATTACTAGATTACACTTATTTCCGTGTCAACGATTCATAATTTAATTTTTTTAATTCTAGGCCAACGGAGAAATTGCGTGCACAGGGTTCAAACATCGGCTTTTGAAGAAGGCTGTATGTATAAAATCTGGGAAGAATGTGTGGATGTATGTAGGTGATGTAAAATGGAAAAGTGTGTTTTGATGGAATAATGAGTAGCGGAGGTCTATCTTCTGCCTCTTTTATCAGTAATAACACTACGCTTACCGAATCAACAAATGCTTGTAGTCGATAACATATCTTAACAACAAACACTAGGCATATCAAGCGTGCATGGTAGTGGCACTTCCATATGATAGCCGGATGGCCTGTTTTTTCGTTCCCTTGACCCTACATGTTAAAAAATTGGAAGCCTATGTACGTTGCTTCTGCAGCGGGATCATAGAAATAGTAACGTTCCTCATCCAAATATTTCTTCTTTTTTGCCTAATCTACCCTGAGCGACATTGCACGAATTAAAAATTTATATAACTCGATTACAATATGTTTGCGGAGGTAGGAGCTAATACAGAGCTCATTTTTAAGCAAAAGTGATTGACCTCTTCTATGAGGAACTTGGTTGATAAGGACTCCTTCCATTGCTTAGTTTTCTCTGTCTTAAACCACGAGTAAAGGTTGGATTTCGTGATTCAGTTCCTTCTGGAGAGAGAACGAGGGGTCTCCAAGCGAAAGAGGAGCAACACTCTCGCGACTCAAAGGTGCGAGACAATGGCGCTATGGCCTTGCATTGTACACAGGGTCAACCCTGCGTTGCGCAAAGAACAACGAGGGGGTCGTATTCGGCCGAACGAAAAGGGAGGGGGTCGTATCCAGAAAGACGGGCTGCAAGACGGCTTGAAAAGTGCAGGAAACGAAAGTCCAGCACAACATCATTACAGAAAGCACCACACTTTTCAGCTACTCTCGCAAGTCACTGTAAAAGTGTTTATATTTACACAAACTGGATGAATGAGCCGCTTTTGTCTCAAAAAATACCAAAATTTAAAATTGTCCAGCTATGTGGTGCGATTGTGACCCAGACACAATTTTGTCCACTCTCTCCCAATGTTCAACTTCATGGATGGAAGCTGTGTTTTCTCTAAAGGACAGTAAGCCTTCGGAGCATCTTCGTCTTTTTTCTGACGAGGTCACTGCTTCTTTTCGCCGCTCTCAGTTCATGGTTTTCGAGACAGAAGCATTAAAATGCGCGCGACTCTGATTTAAAGAGGGAATACTGTTTAGGACAGCCCTCATACCTTTTCTGTAATCATTTAGGGAAGCATTTCGTTAATGTTCAATACTTGCAAAACACCTGGAGACATAGAAGCTCTTCGTTTATCTGTGAATAGAGATAAGGACTTTTCGAATTGCTTTGGAAAGTCTCTCGATCCGTGCCGGGCACCAAGCATAAAGCAGTTTTATGCAGCAAATGCATAAAAAACTGTCGAACATAGCGCGCACTTTCCTGGACTTGTACTCGTGCGGTGTACGAAATGTTTGCAAACAGTGAGCCCTTTTAAAAGCGTTCATCCAGGGTCAACCGTCCGTTGGACAAAGTCCAACGCGACGACGAGAGTAATGCCGAGAGTGAACGTACGCACGGAGACACAGACGGCTCGCGGGTGGCGAGAGTGAATGCCGGCGCGGAGAGCGGTGAACATCGGTCCAACGTCGCTCCAATATCGGTCCAACGTAACGGTTGACCCTGTTCATATCTGGTACTTTCCTTTCCTTGTTCCTTCAATGGGATCAAGAGCTTCACAGTTTTACAGCAACCACGTACTGCTATCTTCGAATGCGTTCTAGGGGAATCTCGACGTACAAGCTTTTATTGATAAATAGATGTATATTACAACACAACACCAAAATAAATACGTTGGACATCCACTATGAAAATTTTTGTCAGTAAACACAAGGAATCTCTATGAGTTCGTGCTTTTTCTCATTAAGGATTGCAGTACGAAATTATTTTCGCAGCTGTCAATGGAGCTGCAATTTCGAAAAACTTCGTATATCCAAGATCTCGACGACGTGCTGTGATCGCATACCGTAATGAAGCGTACGTCCCAACACCGAGCATCATTAGTGGTTCGCCAATGTCCTAGATATTAGACATAATTAATAAAGGTATAATATATGCATTGCGCAAAACAGCCAGTTACTGTAGCTGTCCCCCGTATATGACAATTACGCGAGCATTCGCGAGACGTTCGCATCAAGCTGGACGCGTCACGGAGCTGTCACATACTACGAGTGACGCTTACATGTGATAATGATGATGATATGGTTGTTGAAACAATCGAAATGGTTTACCTTCGGAAAGCTATCCTCTTCTTCTGTGCAGTCGGTTTCCTTGAGGAGTTTTACGCGAAACCTGAAGGCAGAAAATTGGCACAGTAATGGTGAGTGATTTGTGTCCCCTCTGTACCGACTTGACGTGAGTTGTGTAATTCAAAGTGGAAAGGAAGGGAAAATATACCACAAGTGGATGGAAGGAGGAAACCAAACGCAACAATCACACTACTTGAACATGGTGTCGAGTAATAGAGATTATTCCCCTTCTGTTGTTTATGGTAGGTCAAGCAGTAAACAGAAATGGTTATGGGATCGAACTATTGGGGCCACTTTTCTGAGACGGCTTTTGACACACTGCTGCGGCAGATTCTCAATAGAGATGAGGAGGTCCCATAGGCTACATCAAAACTACCACGCCATGCATTCTAGAGAAGTCTGGATTAACCGGTAAAGACATCAGTAGATAGAAACGCGCAGCTGAGCACGAACCCACATGCCATTATAGAACAATGATTCAACGGCCTCTAGGATTCAGAACCTGAGCAAAACGTGTACCGCAAAATTGGGCAGCAGTACCTTCCTTTCAACCTTCATCAGCAACTTCTACCCTTTATTTTCCAGAATTTAGCATGACTGAGTTCTTAGTTGGCAGGGTCAAAGTGGACAATATGAGGTAGAAAAGGTAAATGAAGTTGGACACATTCACCTCTAAGAACTGAAGCTATATGTATCACGAATTTAAGGGCTTTCAGTTCCTTCTATAGAACACAAACTTTCAAACGCACTTCATCGGTGTCACTGATGGAGACGGTAGTTTGTATAAAGAAAACGTATTCTCGATCACTTTCCCCTTGTCATCATATGTCACCTTTTCAAATGTGAGACTGCTATAGCTCTAAAATATGAAAGTTTATGTACAAAAAGAGATTTCTATCTAAGAATAGTCAAAAGTGTATTGTAATTACCATCATTAACGCTCCCTCGATTTGGCAGATATCTATCGCTGGATTTAAGTTTCGGCCGACATCCATGACTATATCTACGGATAGAATCTGAATTGGTGGATATAAGCTACAAACCCAGCACTGAGTACATTTGGTTGTAGTTACAACAACGGAAAAAACGTTTGGATGTTCTTTTTTGTAATTGTTTTCAACCGCTCTGAGGACGTAATTCAAGGAGCGGGGCATTTGCTGAATACGGTAGTCATGACGCAACGCGTCATAGCGGAAGCAGAATTGTTGCAAATTACCCTAAAATCCCATAGATAAGAGCGGTTTAATTTACCGGTGAAAAATGAATTGGAATGAAATTGAAATTGAATGCAGTCACCCCTCTAACTTGATGGATGGATAAATAAAAATCGGAGAAGAAGTTTAGAAGAAGCTCCGTCCCTCAACTCTAAACCCCGCCCACTTAATAAACAATTCATATAGAAAAATAGCGATTTTAACGGAATTTCTGCCGGAATCTCTCTAGAAATGCCGGAATTTGATCTCTGGATAGAACTTGAAGAGCCCATTCGATCAGTAAAATTCCATAGATAAGAGCGGTTTAATTTACCGGTAAAAAATGATTTTGAAAAAATATTTTTATTTTTATTTTATTTTTGAAAAAATATCTATGGACCGCTCTTATCTATGGGATTTTAGGGTAGGTGTTTGTAGGGGTGAGTCAGCTACACAGGCACAGACGGAATGAACAAGGCGCTCGGGCGGGAAAAGAGACTCGGAGGCTATAGAGCACAGGGAACAAGCCAGACGCAGACATGAACACATTAGAATCGACGTGCGTCCATCAATGCGTGAGTTCCTAGCGGTTTCGCCATGCCTTTTGAGTAGGCGAAATTGCATTACCTCTGATGCGGATGATTATATAGAGAACTAAGAAGTAATGGGACACAACTGTTCCATATTACGCCGTACATTTGAATCGCATCACATCCGCATCTGTAGCTTGCGCATTCTGTTGTTGCAGTTGGTTTAAATCGCTAACCAATAGACGTGCGCTTTCATGCAGCACGCCCATAGGAGTAAAATAGGTAGCATTTAAGTGAGAGTGCACAGCGCTGTTCTAAGTGAGCAGGTCGTATTCAGGGAGCCACTCCATTAAAAATCACTTCAACATACTTATTTGTTTCTTTGTTTCACAGCACATCTATATGTGTTCTACATGAAGGACATTATTTATTTATTTATTTATTTATTTATTTATTTATTTATTTATTTATTTATTTATTTATTTATTTACTATTGCACTCAAGGTGCGCCTAAGACAATCGGCGTGCGTATAAATACAAAGTTGACTGCTAGAAAAATTCAATACACTCCCTATATTAGCGACCTAATAATGCAGAAAATATCTGTCGGAAATAATGAATTTGTCAGCATTGGCAACCCTTCAAAATGATTGTGAATGAGAAGCTCCTTTTAAAGTGTGCAGTTTTTAAAAAAAAATTTTGGCAGAAATTCCAGAACAGAAATTTTGTTGCAGCACCACAGAAAACCCTTAGAAATTCCATAAATCGATGCAATTTGTTGCTATCAAATACATTACAATGAATTTCCAAAAAACCCTCAGTACCTGTTGCTCCCCAGTACGGCAATCGATCTGTGAAACGATGCACGCTGCGCCGGTGGCGTTATACATGGATGACTGTAGAGGGATCCCATGTTTTCGGCTGAAAAAGCGTAATCGATGTTTTCGGTTGAACGAACTTCATGTGCCGCCATTTTTTGGCACCCACCCTATGTGTTCGGACGCTTGCAAAGGTACTCGCATCTTATAGGCTCTTAACACAGCTTTACGCCAATCTGGTTCTTCTTTGAGAATAGGACGTAGGCCGACCATTAGCTTCTCACAGCATGCCTGAAAGGGGTGGAGTTGGTGCTTCTAATTTATTTCATTTAGGGCAACGATGTGGTGGGCTAACCGTAATCGCTCGTCCATGAACATCTGCACCTTGAGTTCCTCCATTCTGTTGTTGGTTATATTTTTTATCTGTGCTAGCATCAGTTACCGTTATAAATGAGGTGGGAATCTAAAGATAATCGGGTACAATTATAGCTAGCAGTCTACATAGCTCCAAGCAATTAGAACCTCACTGACCCTTCTCCGTGGTACCAGTATCACTTACTCTTTTTTTTATATTAGGTCGGTCCATAAGTCTTGCAACAAACTGGCCGAATTTTGAATTTAATATTTTCATTATCTTTTTGTTCCATTCATCCGGCATGCTACCCTCCATCAATATCTACAACCTATTGCCAACACACTAGTAGCTGCTCGATGCCTCCCTTGTAGGACTCTACTGAATTCTGATCGAAGAAAGATCAGATGTCGATTTTGACATCATCATAGTTAGGATGAGCTTTCTTCTCTAGGAGATGGTTTGGAGAGGGGAGCAGAAGGGCATTATTTGCCTCGAGGTCAGGGCTATAACGTGAATACGGAAGAACTCTCCGTCCCAGAGTCTCGAAATTTTCCTGAATTTTCTTAGCAAGAGGTTTTTCAACGGTGTCATACAAAAGCAAACTTTGCCTTGTTTTTCTTTCGTATTAAAAGCGTTGCATTCGAGCTGTGGATAGTTGACTTTCGCGTTGACTGCGACATCTACACGGAGGGGTTTCCAGAGCTTAACTCCTCCCGTGTTCCACCAAAAATCCGAGAAGGCCCTACTTGGACGAGGTTGAACTTAAGCAATAAGATCTCCCGAAGCGTTTGAGCTGGACTACCGCCGCTTGTTCATTTGTTAGTAAACTTTGTACCCACTCTCAAGTTATTACGGCGGTTATAGTAAGTCGACTTGAACATGACGGATGTCAGATCGTGTTTGGAGCTGAATCGGGCTCAAGGCACGTGGGGACCAAACTCTACATTTTCGGATCTTCACAAGTCTTTGGAGATGCCACAGTGCTGTCTCCTTGTCGCATCGGAATCGCTCTAGCAAATGATCGATACTTATCCAGATCACAGGGTGGTTGGAGTGTGGGTTATTTTCAAATAAAAAAAAGTCAACGCTGAGCAGAGTGAAGCGCCGTTGCACTGTGGTTTGAGAGAGCTTGCCCTCGCCTATCTTCTGGCCAATCCTTGGTCTAGCATGACTTGCGGAACATTCCAAGCAGTACTCGTAAAAATTAAGGGCATCGAGAGCCCTCTCGCGAAATCGGTGTAATATCCATAATAAGTAAGCAGACAACGAGCTGGACCGTTGGCTGAAATTGCAAAGGTTGATGCTACGTCAGGAAATATGTTGCGGATTTTCAGGAGTTCTCCCTAAAATTTCTATAGCATTAAATGTAGTTTGTTGCAAGACTTATGAACCGACCTAATATTATTATTAGCTTACTCGCAATGCACGACTGGCAACATGTTGACACTTCGTGATCAGTTCACGTTCCATCTCAACTCCTCCAATTGTGACTGCAACGCTTCCATCTTTAGAAACCTGCACGAGAGCTACAGCCTGAAAGGTACCGTGAAAGCAGTGTGCTAAGTGAGAGCAACCAAAGAGCAATAATCCACCACTACTGAGCTCCTACCTGTTCGTTAGGTCCAGGAGAAGCTAAACCCATCCGGGTTGCACTCATAGCTATTCCTCGTTTTATGTGATTCGAGGTTCTGAAACAAAGCATGAAGCATGGGAGTATGAGTATGGAGCATCCCGGCCCTGGTTTACTCCTCTTTGGGCAGTGCTACGCCTTCTATTATAGTTTGTTTACAACGCTGGTGCCATTTGAATAAGAAATGACAAATGCAAGGCTTCCCTGGACCAATCTACAAATCATTGTTTATCCTGCCAGACGAGTCGGGTTTAGCCTTCGAGGCGCAGCAATGAGTGCTTACTACTACTCCGCTAAAGATAGAGTAAAGACTATCCGATATTGCTGATTCACCGGCCCTTATTCTTATGCATTTATCTTTATTGCGCCAAGCGTTACAAAGCACTAACTTGTTGAAACGGTCGACTTCTTCGCGCAGCTCGTCGAAATCACTCCATTTAATGCACTCTTCGCATTCCCCCAGCACTCCAAAAGGGCGTCGTTGAGAATCGGTTCCTTCGACAGTCGTATGCCTCCGTTTTTATTGAAGTTCATTTTCATTATCTGAATGGTGAGTGTCGTTCGAAAGGAGAGTAGGGAGATCTGCAGGGATAACGCATAGGCATGAAAAAAGCACAAGGAGCGAGGATCGCCTGCGCCTTGCAGAACTGAGTGACGACAGCGACCAATCACAGACGATCTTCGGAGGCGACTAAATCAAATCACTTTGTTTCAGGACGTGTCAGCTCTTGCTTATCCAGTGATCCGCTAGCGAATCGCGGGATATAAGCGTTGCACCAGCGGATCGAGCTGTGTACCAGCACAGTTCGAATAAAGTACTCCCTCTCGTTTGCACGTTGACCCTCGCCACTTTCCTGAGCTCTCATGCCTTTTCGCTGTCTCATGCCCTCGTGAGCTCGGAAGAGTGGCGAGAGCCGAGGTTCGAAGAGAGTCCTAACACTTTCGAAGGTGTCAAGTCGATGTTACATCGTTCGAACCGCTGTTACACAGCTCGATTTGCTGATGCAACGCTCGTATTCCGTAGCGAGTCACTGAATTCGCGAAGTCTGACACTGGCCTTAGCATCATGCGCTGGTGGTAAATCTGGCGTTCTAGTGTGGACTCCTTAATACACATTAATCAGTACTCCATGCAAATAATGAATCAAATCTCGAACGTTCTAGGCACGTTCTAATCATGAACGGCTACGTTGCTTGCAGCGACCACCAGGAGAGTTCGAAGCTACCGATTCCGCTAGGCTAATGACCTAGAGTGGAGTGAAGTTTGTTCGTACACACTTAAATGCTACCTTTTCGAGCGGTTTATTCACAGCGTGTGCGACGTGACATAGGATACCATTCATTGCGAAGTAAGCCTGAGGCAAACCGCAGCCCCTGAAAGTAATGGCAGAAGTTTTGTTCATTTCCATACGGTAATGGGTTTAAAGCGCGATGTCATCGCGCGACGTCACGCCAACTTTTAGCTTAAAGGCAAACCAAGGGTTAAACTGGTGCTACGAGCATTGTGATAGCCTACCTGCGGAGTGACCTGAAAGTGGAAAGGAAAGCAAGAGAAAACTTTAGGAACGCTGGAATTAAGGCCTTACCCTTCAATAAGGTCGGATGTGATACGATAGCGAGAAAGAAGAGAAAGTATGCGAGAGAGCAAGTCGCGCTTGAGAGAGGACCCTGATCTCTACATCAATGTACGCCGATCTCACCACCTCGCGGTGGGTTGGGAGCGTTGGAATAGATGACGATGGTTGCAGTCTCGTAAGGGTTAGTGCCCTAACCGCGCAATTTTTGAGACGAACTGGGAGCAAATGCTAGCCCGACGGAACGCGGTGATTGCACCGCACCCCCAGCGGCTTGAAACTGATTCCGACGTGCCGGCATTGTGCTCCTTCAGCAAAAACATCTGCACTGGAACCGCGCGCGCATGCATTCCGCGACAGCCCCAGTTGCGGGACGCGACATCGCGCGGTGACCTGTTGCTACACAACCCACTGTACATAAATGTTCTGTTATAGTTTTCAATATCGACTTTGAAAGCTACCTTACGAAAGTGTTGTTCGACTTATTCGTTTTCAATGCGTATCCTTCAGCTCTCATTACTGGAATGCTATAACATGTATCGGACAAGGCAGTTGACATGTAGGTAACCTGAATCAAGGAGAATGTAATTAGCATAGCGGTAATCAGAAAAAGAAAGGGCGGTACCCATAGTAGGAACATTCTTTTTGAAATTCAGCCACATGCATTTTGTGGATTCAGGCGCACGCAGCGCGGGAGGAACTGCCTATGATTGGTCCATCGCCAGCAGTCGACCAATCACAGGCGTAGCGGTCAAAGTTCTCTGCGTTTTCAAAACGACTGCCGCAGCAAGTAGAACAGGGAGTGACTCTGTATGGTTCAAGCTGTCCTAGAGAAGTGGCCGCACTTGTGGCTTGAATAAACCCCGCATGACTTGAAATACATGCACAAGTTCTGGGACACTCGTAGTAGCAACACTTTCCTCACCACATTTGATGCATCAATAGCATAACCTCCGTCGAGATAAACTTTGAGATACGCGCAACGTAGCATGCCAGTCACATCGATGCCAACTCTAAATATCTCTAGGTACTTATGTGATTTGTAGAACTCAATCATTCGATCACTTTAGCTTTGAATGACAACTTCGAACCTTTATATCTTCCGTAGTCTCGTAATAAACTCTCAAAACTAACCTGTACTTTACCATGGCCGGGTGACGTTTCCCAGTGATAAGCATATCTTCGGCCCTCTTCAGCACAACCTTGACTGGGCGGTTCAGCACTCGTGCTGCAAGTGCAGCCCAAGCTCCAGCTGGCGCACTTTGAGTGTATTTACCACCAAATGCACCGCCAACGCGTTCCACCTAAAGGGTATGTTGTAGAAAGAGGAAACGAATAAGCGGTGCCTCAAAAAAACCTTGAAAAATAACAACTACTGTTAGTCACAAAGTTAGCCTTTAATAAAATCATAATTGTTCAG